CTCTCTCTGGCCTGCTCTCCAACTGCCAGCTGTCTTCTATGGCTGTCCTTCCCTTGTCCACTCTGGGGCTTGACAGGGTGAAGCATGGCCAGGTTTGAATGCTGAGCCCTTCCCTAGGACGGTGTCCCTGCCAACTCTCATTCCACATTTATAGCAACAAATGCTGGCCTGAGGTCACTCACCAACCGTTGCCTATGGAAGGCTTCTCTGGAAGCAGAGTGCTGTGTTTTCCTTGGAGATTTCAACTGTCACTGATTGTTTCAGTCCCAGTGTGGTCCTCCATGAAGGAAAAGTTTTTAGCTTCATTCTGTTTCCCAGATGGTGGCTGGCTCTCAGCCACAGTTTGCAGAGGCTCTTCTCTGCAATGTGGTCTGTTTCTTCTGTATCTTTTAATCCTTTTTTTTCTTTCATCAGTTCTCTCCTGGCTCCTAGGTAACTTTTTACTTTGATTACTCCCAATGCTACGATTTTCCAGACTCTAGGCACTGTCCTAGAGAAACTTACTTGCTGTCACACTTCCTTACCCCACTTGACCTTTTTTTGAAGGAGAAAACTTTGATATTCTGGCTAAGAAGATTTAAAAGTAAATGTCACATTTTCTCTGTAGTACTTACTAGCATCATAATGGTTGACTTTACAACCAGGTTCAAAATATTAAATTCCCCTTTTTTTGTACCAGTGATCAAACTCATGACCTTGTGCTTGTCAGGCAGGCACGTATACCACTGAACTAACCTCTGACCCAAAATATTAGATTTCTTAATCCTGGTCCATTACCTCTTTGGTCAGTTTCTGTGGGCTGAGGATATAACTCAGTGGTACAAGCACCTGCCTGGCAAGCACAATATCCTAAGTTTGAGTCCTCAAAAAACGAAAAAGCAAAACAAAAACAAAAAATATAGTTATAGTCAAGGGCTGGGGATGTAGCTCAGTGGTAGTGTTTGCCTAGCATGTGTGAGACCCTGAGTTAAATTCCCAGTACGCCCCCACACACAAAGTTTCCAGTCTCCACTAGTCAAAAAAAATGGACCCCTCACCCTGATTTCTTTCTTTTGATCCACTTTATACACCATTTCCATAAGAATCTCCTGAGGCGTTGCTTTGATATGTAATTCGAATAGCTCATCATATAAAAATCAAGCTGCTCAATATTAGTGGTTGTTTGTGCTTTGTCCTAAACTATCTTCCAGCCCTCTGCTCTGGCCAGTGAGATGAAGGGTCATTGTCTAGGTATCAATGATAGGGAGTGCTGAAAAAAAATTACTGGAATAAATCCAAAGTATGTGTCACTTTACTATGGTTTCTACATTAACTCCTTAAATTAGTGAGGAAATGTGAACTGAAAATTTTGTCCCCTTCCCCAAATAGTGCTGTCAAAATGGGTTTTTTGGCTATGTCTGATTATCTACATTGAAAGTTTTTGTTATGCTTTGTTTGTTTTTGGTGCTGAGGGTTGAAGCTGTGGCCTCACTCCCAGCCCAAGTTAGAGTCTGAATTCATTTTTTTGTGCATATATGGTGCTAGGGATCATATCCAGGGCCTCTTTCATATTAAGTACTTGCTCTACCACTAATCTGCACTCATAATCCCTATTTCTTTAGTATACATGTTGCCGAAACACATAACCCGTTTTTGCAACATGTAAGCAACTACTGTCACACGTGACACTTGTATGTGAAAGCTCATTTAAAGCCAGCAGTTGAAGAAGGCAATGTATAAAACCATTAATGAAAAAAATCTCCATTACTTTTATTTGCATTTTAAATGGTCTATCATGTTCTTAAGAAATATTGTGGTTTATAGTTTTGTTCATATTAAAACCTTTCTTTGTTAATAAAAATGTACCTGATTTTTTTTGTCCTTTTGAGACAGGGTCTCATTATGCAGTTCAGGCTGGCCTTGAGCTTACTTTGTAACCCAGGCTGGTCTCAAACTTGCAACGATGTTCCTGCTTCCATCTGTCCAGTGCTGAGATTACAGGAGTGCACCACCACCCCTGGCAATGTACCTGATTTTTAAATAGAAAAGCAAATTTTATTGCAGCTGCTGCTAGGTAGACACTGATCAAACATTTAAAGAAAATCCATATTGTAGGGCTATCCAGGAGTGCCTGAGGTTCTTGGTGCAGACCCAGCTGCCTTCTATATATAGGAGACTATAGGAAGGATAGATTTGGGAAGGAAAATGCTGAGTTCATTTTTGAACATGTTGGAATTCAGTGTAGATAAGTGTTATGGCTTATGTGTTTAGATGCCCCCCCAAGGCCTCATATGGTGATAGGTGGGCTTTTTCAGAGGTGGCTGAATCTAGGATGTGTGATTGACTCATGGTACACATGCTAGGATTAAGAGTGCTAGGATTAAGGGAGGGTAAGTACTGAATCAGTCCACTGATTGGTTTGGCACTGCTATAATCCTGGTACCTGGATACAATTTAAGGGACAGAAATGTTTGTCTTGTCCTTCACTTGCTTGCTTTTTTACCTTCTGTCTGCCATGAAATGTTGCTCCTCAGCCATGCCACTTGGCCTTGGAGCCAGTCATTTATTGACTAAAAATGTCTACAAACTGTGAGCTAGGGCTGGCTAGGGATTTAGCCCAGTGGCATAAACACCTGCCTGGCAAATGTGAGGTTGTGAGTTTGATCCCCAGTACAAGAAAGAAAAAAAAACCCTGTAAGCTAAATAAATGTTTTCTTCCTTAACTTGGGTGGGTGTTGGATATTTTGTCTCAGCAATGAGAAAAGTAACTAAGACAGCAGGCCTGATATTCAAGACATCTAACAGTAGAGCACAGGGAAGGGTTATTGAGGATGGATAATTGACAAACCAGAACTAATGTCATCAAACCTGTGCATACTGAGTATCACCTCAACCCATAGGATCTCCAGGTAGAAAGTTGGAGCAAGTAGAAGCAGAAGAGAAGTTGGGCTGGGTATAATAGATTGGGCTGGCACATATATAATAGTGTTAGCAACCTAATCCTTAGGTATTAACTGAATTGACATGAGAGGGCTGTGAGTAAATCCTTGAGTCAGGGATTGAGTCAAGGAAGAGAAATGAGTAGATAAGAATAGATGGAAAAATGAGATGAAAACAAAAAAATGTCCGTATATCAGGAAAATCAAGAGACGAGTAAAGTTTAAGGCTGGAGTAGTTAACAGGATAATAAAGACCTGTCAGCTTGGCAGTTTAAAAGTAGTAAACATGATGGACATCGATTAGCATTCCTTTCTGTAATAGATATAAACAAATCCTATACAGGCATTTTAAGTATTTTTCTCTCTTGTCATGAAAGTATATCACACTACCATAAACTGTTTAGAAAATATAGGAGGGTAGCAAATTTCAACCTGCTGGAAACTCTAACCTAAATGCCAGAGTCAGCTAAGGACTCATGGAGGTGCTTACCACCTGAACCTTGGGAGACCCAGGGCCACTGCTATGCACGACTCCTGCCACAGTCTGTTCACAAAAGCAGCAGGTGCTGGCTTCTGGCTATGGAGTATCACTGAGGAAAAGCCTTCCTGCTCCAAGGCTGCTTCTGTCTTTCTCTGCCTCTTCTACCCTTCTCAAATAAAGAATGACAGGGTGGGCAGAGTATTGCACACCTGTGATTCTGGCATTCTGGATGCTGAGGCTGTAGGATTTGCAAGTTTGAGCCCAGTTTGGGCAACTTAGCAACTTAGACCATGTGTCAAAAAAAAAAAAAGTTGGGATAGAGCTCAGTGCAAAGCCTTTGGATTCAGTTCCCCATTCCACAACAAATTCACTAGACATTTTCCTGATCAGTTTTTCTCCTGTACCAAAACTGTTTGAATACATAGGGTCTGACAATGTGGGACAGTTACTCTCAGATATCTATCTGCTTTTGAGAGTGTGGGAGACAGAAGGGAGAAAACAGTACAAAGATTCCATCTGACTCAGGAAAGAATGGTTGTCATCAAGAAATCAAATAATAACAAGTGCTTGTGAGGCTGTGGTGAAAAAGTATATGTGCTCCCCAACCAAGCATGAAGCTGTGGTGAAAAAGGAACCTTCCTGCATTGTTAGTGGGAATGTAAACTACTACAACCATTACTGCAATCAGTGTGGACATTCTTCAAAGAACTGAAATTAAAAATTCCACAAGACCCAGTGACCCCATGCTAGATGTCTCCCCCAAGAAGCATAATACATCATGCATCAGCAGCACACACATACTGATGTTTATAGCTGCACAGTTCATAATAGCCAAATCCTAGAAGCAGCCTATTTACCTATCACCAGATGACTGGATAAAGAAAATGTGGTAACTGGGCACAGTGGAATATTATTTGGCTATAAAGAAGGAGAAATCTTTGTAAGATATTTGTAAGAAAATGAATGCACCTAGAAAATGTGTTTATGTTGAGTGAAATAAACCAGTCACACAAGCTTAAATACCATATGGAATCTCTCATTTGAGTGAGGCAAAGTACAGCCAAAGAGAATGATAAAGAATGTATAGAAGGGGACAAGGGAATGGATCTCTTGAGATAGGGAAGTGAACCAAGGGAATGAGTGAGGAGAAGGGGAAGGGGAAATAAGTAGAATAAAGAATTGCCATGTACAGGGATGTAGTAACCTCAAGGAATGTAAACATTTTAGGCCATAAATAGGATTAATAGCAACTCAGATTAATATCAACAAGAATAAGGAAAATAGGGATAGGGGAATTAAAGGAGGGAGCAGGAGGGAAGAGGAAGGGAACTAAAAAAGCAAACTGTAGTATGTGCATGTATGCACTCCCCAAGATGACTATAACTGGCATGAGCTGCAAATATGTACTAATAAAAAGCAAAACCAGATAGAAAAGCAGGAGTAATGGAAAGATTGGGTAGTTCGATTAAGGGAACAGAGTTACTGTAGGAAACGAGCCAATAAGTTAACAAATGATCATGTTCATTATAAAAAAGGCAGAAAATGCTATGAAGAGAATGTTGCATTCATATTTATCACTTTTTTCCTGTTTCATCACTCAGCCCTGTAGTGATTGACTCTGAGTCTGATGATGAGTATGCTCATGAAGAAAAGAAAATAAAGATTTATGAAATAAATAGTCAAGGTAAGTATACTGCTCTCTAGAGAAGTAGCTAAGCTCTGAAGACTCATGCATTAGTACTTTCAGGGTCAGAGTCCTCACACTCTGCATTTAGAATCACTCAAAAGCAAGGGCCACCATTTTGTTCCTCACACGTGCTGACCATGGACGTGGCTGGGTTAGTTTTCTGCTGCTGTGGATCGCAGGAGTCCCTCTTGGTAGAGCTCTTACCTGTCTAGAACTGCACTAAAGCATGAGAAGGGAGAAAACTGAGAGCTGAGACACAGAAGTATGTTTCAGAAGTGGCCTCTGCTGCTCCCTCTTCCTCTCTTTCTCTCTGTCTATGCATGGGAATAATGAGGAAAGGGGCAAGAAGTGTGGGCTCTGCATTCTTTTTAGATTGATGGAGATTTGAGAGATGATTGTTTAAAACATGCTAGCCAACTGGGCATGATGGTGCATGCCTATAATCCTAGCACTTGGGAGGCTAAAGCAGGAGGATTGCAGCAAGGCTACATACTGAGACTTTGCCTCAAAAAACAAAAATACAACCAATCAATACATACATACATACATACATGCTAGCTACCATCTCCTTTCTGCATACTTACATAAAACAAATCAAAAGTTTAGCCAGGATGTAATAACAAGCACTCGGGTCCTGACCTAGATCCCCAGTCTCCCGAGGGAGTGTATGGTGAAGGCTTAAATAAAAAGAGACAAGGAGGGTCAAAACCCTTAGTTGAGTTCGAGACTCTGAGGGCTAAGACAAAGACTTCTCTGGACCACCCATTTTTATTAGGTCCAAAATGAAGAGCAGGGAAACTGAGGAAAGCACAGGCAATGAGCAGGACCTTGGGAGTCACTTCAAGAATGTCTGTCTCCAAGTAATAAATCATGTCAATTTAGGAAAACCTTCTTATCTTCATGATGACATGGTAGGAATGAGACTGTAAGAGTAATTCCTGCAGCTGCAGTCTCTATCTACTTAATTGATGTTTGAGCCAAGTGTCCGCAGCTGTGGCCTTATCTTGCCCTTTGAGGTATCTCTGGCCTCACAGGCCACTACAGGCCTCAGCAAAGACCAGTGATTCAGAGAGGGTCACTTACTATGAATTAGCTCCTGTCACCAGGCAAGGGGCCGAGGCCTAGAGCAGACTCACAGAAACATAACCAATTAGTTGATTTTAAATCCTGCTCAGAGCCACTTCCTAGTGGTCTGCAACAACAAACTAAAGGGCAGTCTTTGAATTATGGAAATTTAACTTAACTTGAAGGAAATATCACATTTTTATTTTAGTTTCTCTTAGTTTTGCTGTGGATATGAATTTTTAGACCTGAGTTTGGGAATTATCATGCTACTTAGAGAATATGATTTGATTGCTGTTTTATCTGTCTTTCTTCAATTTTTGTTTTTTTTTAGTACATGTTTGCTATACATGATTACATTCCTTGTGGGGGAGTTAGTGTATGTACATAACATGTTAATTTTTAAATTTCTTTCCCCTTCCATCCTCCCTACTCCCTTCTATCTCTTGGTTCCTCCCCCACACCCTTTTTTTTTGACACAAGGTCTCACTATGTAGTTCAGACTGCCCTTAAACTTGCTTATGAAGCCCAGGCTGGCCTCAAACTGATGGCAATCCTTCTGCCTCAGTCTCCTGAGTGTTAGAATTAGAGGCATATATCATTATGCCCAATGGTCCCTTTGCCTTTGGCAAAGATTTATTTCCTTGTTTCTTATTACCTACCTTTTATTTTGCTCTTTGTTTATATTTTGTATATCTCACATAAGAGAGACCATGAGATATTTAAGCTTGTGTGTGAATTATTTCTCTTAACATTATGGTTTCAAGCATCCCATTTTCCTACAAATAACTCATTTATCCTTATTCACGACAGGGTAGTACTCCATCATGTATAAATAGCACTTTCTTTATTCTTCCACTGGTGGATACACAGACTACTTCCAAGATTTAGTTATTGTGAATTGTGCTGCTATAAACATGAGTATGATTGCTGGTGGTTTTTTGGTGTTGTTGTTAATTGTTGTTCTTGAGACAGGGTCTCACTGTGTAGTTCTCTGTAGCCCCGGTTGGCCTCAAACTCACAGCAATCCTTTTACCTCAACCTCCTAAGTGCTGTAACTATAGGCATATGCCAGTAAACCTGGCCTGGTTGCTGTTTTATCTGTCATTTATTCTTAGTAAAATAAAAAAGAAACAGTAAAAACAATGTAAAATAACTATGATTCTTAACTGTAACTTATATTCATAGTTTCTGGGGGCTTGGTTAACTTAATAATCTGCTGGTATTTAGTGTGTAAGGAGTATATTTATGTGTCATGTTCCCTGAATTTCAGATGAGGTTTTGGCAGTAATTTCTGATACTGAGGAGGAAGACAAAGAGGAGGAGGAAGAGTTGGAAGTGGAGGAGGTAGAAATGGAAGAGCCTACCACCAACACCCAGAAGTCTCCAGTAGTAATTGTTATTGATGATGATGATGATGATGATGATGGCAACAATAAGAAGTGGGAAATTCCTGAGCTAAAAGAAGGGGATTCCCATAATTACAGCCAAATTTATTCATATAAAAGGGAAGTGCATGAGTCTGTTGCCTCCCAACAAAATTCACCTGATAATGTTCCACTGGGTAATGATCCTGAGGCTAACCTAGAAATTATAGATCAAGAGTTGCCAACTACTGACAAGCTCATATCTGTGACGGAACAACCGAGGAAAAGGAAAACCAGTAAAACATGTGTGGCACCTGGTAAGCCAGTCATAGCAAGTATGCCTGTCCTGCCAAATGTACCCAGCCTACAAGTATGCCTACCACACCTTTTTTGCTCACTATGCTGGGGTCTTAAGGCCTGCCCATCCTGTTTGCCAGTCCTCAGCTATTATAGCAACTTCCTAGTTGCAAAGGGAAACAGCCATCCCAATTAAAATGATTTTTCTGGAAATGGAAACACTCACATTTGACTTTCTTGTGTCCCTATATCTTAGTATTTACTTTTCTGTGTGTCCCCTTGCCCCACTTTCTCCCTGCATCTTTTTTCCAGAGGATACACTAACACTTTGGTTCATGAACTTAATTCTTTCCATGATTCTGGTCACAAACTGAATTGGACAAAAACCAAATCAAATTCAATAATTACGTACAATGTTGACCTTATAGGAAAATTTGATTCAGTTCTTGTCCAATTTGGTTTGCAACTAGCATCATGGATAGAATTAAGTTCATGAATTGAGGTACTATTGTATCCTGTTTTTCTTAAAACCTAGTCCAATTGTTAGGTCCTCTATGAAATAACGAATTATTAGAGTGACTCCCCCTTGCTGGAATCCCAAAGTTCTAAAGTTTAAAGCCTAGTCTGAAGCACTAATCATGTGGTGTTGTAGCATGTTCCTGAATCTGTCCTCAACTAGTAGCTTTTTCATGGGGGAGCTTTTTTTTCTTTTTGGTACCGGGGATCCAATTCATGACCTCACATTTGCCAGACAAGTTCTTACGCCACTGAGTTAAATCCCCGGCCCAATGGGAGAGCTTTTAATCATTTAGGTCTTTCAATGTCTAGCCTTGTGATTGGCATGTAACAAATGTTTAAGAAATTTTTGGTCCTTTTTTTTTTTTTTGGTACTGGGAATGAGACCTAGAGTCTAATCCTTGCTAGGTTGGTGTTGTACCACAGAGCTACATCCCAGCTCTAATTTTTTTTATTTTTTAATTTTATTTTGAAGAATAAAACAAAATTTCAAAAGAAGATAGTAAGAGGGTAACAATGGTTAATATATTGTGTCTTGCTATCTTAATTATTGACAGTACAAGACATTGGTATTTAATTGTCCAAACAATATTAGTACAAATCTTTCTTTTCCACGCGCTAAGAGAAAGTTACTTATCTTAAATATCTTTTATATGTATGTACATATTTATTTATATATATTTATGTATTTTTTGTTTTTCCTTCTTTTGTACATCCCCATCCTACTTTCTCTTTCCTTTTGAAGCATCTTCCCATTTTACAATATCTGTTGTACATTTTGAATCTTATTTATTCTTTCAGTTTCTCATAGTGGGGAGACAATATGATGTTTACACATGTGAGTGATTTATTTCACTTATGAGCATGGTCTCAAGTTGCATCCATTTACCTATAAGTCTCCAGGTTTTCCTTCTTTATGGCTGAGTAGTACTCCATTGTATAAAAAGACCACATCCTTTAATCCATTCCTTGGTTGATGGGCATTTGGGTTGTTGCCAAGATTTAGCTATTACAAATTGTGCTGCTATAAACATGAGTGCACATATACCAGTGTGGTATGATGTTTTTATTCTGGAAACATACCCAAAAGGGGAATAGCTAAGACAAATGGGACTTCCAATCCTAGTTTTCTGAGGAATCTCCACACTGATTTCCACAGTGGTTGCACCAGTGTACATTTCCACCAACAGTGGAAAAGGGTTCCTTCTTCCCACAGCTCCTCTGGTATTTATTGTTGGCAGATTTCTTGATGATAGCCTTTTTTTCTAGAATGAGATGGAATCTCAGTGTTACTTTAATTTGTATCTCTCAAATGATCAGTGATGTTGAACGTTTTTTATATATTTATTTGCTGTCTCTATTTCTTCATCTGAGAAGTGTGTGTTCACATCACATGCCCAGTTTTGTACTGGGTCTTTAAGTTTGAGAAATATGATTTTTTTGAGTTCTTTATATGTTCTCAATAGTAATCCTTTGTCTGAGGAACAGCTGGAAAATATTTTCTCACATTGTAGGTTGGCTCTTCACTCTGTTGGTCGTTTCTCTTGCTGAGCAAAAGCTTTTTAAAAGATGAGGTCCCAGTTGTTGGATTCTTTGTGATAGTTCCTTTGTGATTGGGGTTTTATTTAAAAAGTCTTTGCTACACCAGTGTCTTCAAGAGTTAGCAGATTTAATGTTTGTGTTTGAATATTTATATCTTTGATTCATTCTGAATTTAGTTTAGTGATTGGTGAAAGATATGGGTTCAATTTTAATTTCTGGCGTGTGGAGAGCTAGCTTCTCTAGCACCATTTATTTATTTAAAAAGAAAGACAAAACAAAATAGAAAATGGGCAGAAATAGTACATACTTTCAAAGAAAAGAAATAGTAATAAATCACTAGCTGATGTATACATACTGTCCCCCCAAAATAGTTGTTCAAGGTACACAAATGGAACATATAAATGGGATTCTAACCAGGGAGACTGCAAACAGTTCTGTTCAACTATTGAACAAAAACTAAGTATTACGGCTATCAATCGTATACACTTAGACATGTACGCATTTATCCATATTTTCATTTATGTTGAGACCAAACAAAACCTAGCAGATTAAAGTCATTCTGAACAAAGATTAATAATATTGCTGGATTTCACATCATAGCACTCTGGAATCAGCACTGGGTACTGTAGTGCCCCTTTCTTTCAAAGTTTGTGTTCATTTCATCATGTATCATCAGATCAGTGCTCATAAACTGTTTATAGGTTTTACGAAAGCTTGAGTCTTAACATGTATTTCTATCCTTTCTATATTAGAGTGAGAAACAGAACAAAACAGGACAGAACTAAACTTTTTCCTGTAGACATAAAACTAAAAAGACATATAAAACTTGTATAAGGAGTTCTACCATGTCACTGTGCTGTTTCTTGTTATCATCAACATAATTGGCTATATCATCAGATAAAGTATAATTGAGCATATCAGTATATAAGAGGATTAACAGAAATACAACTTTGTAGATAGTGTAGAGCTACAAAAACAGGTAGTAACCAAATCAGAATGGATATCATAGTGAATCATTGTCATTTTCAGTATAGTTGTCTATACTCCTCAACTTGATACCAGCAACCTAACAGTTTTGAATAAAATCTGTCAGTAATAAGCAGCAATCAAACAAGTCAGGTTTAACTAAAATCAGTCGTGATACAACAGTATAAGTCCTACAGGGATCCTGATTAAGTTAATAGGAAATCAAAGATGACCACTGTGCTATGTCCTGATATCTTCAGTACAGCTGTCTGTGCCCTCAGATCCAGTGCTTGTATACAAACTAGGATGGAACAAGTTCCAACCATGCAGAGTGGTGTGAGTAATAGGAGTTTTCATTCCTAATACACTATATTAGCTTTATCTTCTGCTGTTTTCTTTTTTTGAGGACAATTCCTCACCTTTACTCCCCCAGAATGAACTGTGAATTTTTGGGTCTATCCAACACTCACGGTTTTGTATTGAGGGGGCAACCTGCTATTTACCTAGGTGTTTCTGAATTTTCTCACTCCTGGGCTGGATTTCTAGTTATATTTCTTCATTTATTAAAGCCTGTCTGTTCAACCTATCCATAAATACTGGTCTAGTTACCCCTATTACTCTCTGGTTCCCTATCACATCTAGCTCCGTTTTCTCATGTTTGATTTTGGTCCATATAACCTTCTTCAGGCTAATTATATTTCCTATAAAAGAGCCTCTCAGTGGACCCTGTCTTTTGATCCACTCTGCCTGCAATTCTCTCTTTTTTCCTTTAATTTAGTATATCTAGGCCATCTATATTAGAAATTATATCCAACCTTCTCTGCCTCATTTCTGTTGAGCTTTTTTTCTGTCATTAGTTGTCAGTGTGTCTTCTTCATTTTGCTTTCTGCTCCATTCATTGTGGCCTCTCTGCCACTGTTTCTGGAATCTTGGTACTTTTCTCTTTTAGAATGTCCTCAGTATTCTCTGTAGAGTTGAATTGGTGGTTGCAAATTCCCCTAGTTCCTCTTTATCCTGGAAGCACCTTGTTTTTCCATCAATTTCTAGGACAGTTGTGCAGGATATATCAATCTTAGCTGGAGGTTATTATCTTTCAAAGCTTGAATTATTTCCCCCCACGCTCTTCGTGATTTGATGGTTTGTGCAGAGAAGTCTGCTGTAATTCTGATGTGTGTTCCCTTGTAAGTGATCTGTTTCTTGTCTCTGACAGCTTTTAATATTCTGTTTTTATATTGGATTTCTGTAATTTTGATTATTATATGCCTGGATGTGTCTCTGTTTGGCTTGTAGGTGGCTGGGGACCTGTATGCCTCATACATCTGAGCATCTTTACCTTTTCCTATATTTGGGAAGTTCTCCTTGATTATTTCTGTGAATAGCATTTGCAGTTCATTTGTTTCTATCCCTGTTTCTTCCTTTACATTCTTAATTCTTAAGTTATAGATCCTCTTATCATCTTCTAGCCTTTGTATTGTTACTGCTTGTTTCCTTGTTATTTTTAAGAAGTTTTTCCTTTCATGCTTCCACATTATAAATCTGTCCTCCAGTTCAGATAATCTATCCTTAGTTTCTTTCAAGCTGTTATGCCAGTTCTCAATAGTTTTTAGTTTCCTGGTAATCTCTTTGAACCTGCTTCATGTATTCTATGTTTTCTTTATTTTCTCCATCAAACAATTCTCCCCTTTTTTTTCTGTTCTATTCCACTATATGTTTTTTCTTGGGAGGTGCTTAGCATTTATTTAACTATTCTACTTATATCTTGCTTTACTTGGTTAAATACTTTACTTTTGAACTCGTCTATGAGGTCCTGGAGATATCGCTTTATGTCTATTGATGCCATGACTCATATTGCATGTTTTCTGTCTTTATTCTCCTTTGCATTTACCTTTCCTGGATCAGTGTTCTCAGGATTGGGGACCAAGATTCCTTTCTTGTTGCCTCCTCTTCTCATATTTTTTGTTCCTTCCATACAGGTGTATATAGGAGGCCCAGTTTCCTTCTTTGTTGGTTACAGTTTATTTGAATCTCACCAGCTAGGTGTTCCTGCCCACTGCATTGTACTAGGGAGATACAGACCGGGGCAGCCTATGCTGGGCCCGCCCCTCCAGGTCAGTCAACCTGCTGAAGGCTTCACTGCATTAGGGTGCACTGCCAAGTGCAGGGACCTAGTTTGGGCTAGCCTACTGGGTCTTAGTTCACGGCATCATCCAGGTCAAGTGCTCCCTACCAATCCTGCTTGAGAGGGCAATATGAGATGAAGTCACTCCAGCGCCCTGTTCTGGCTAGTCTGCTCGGTCCCAGAATGTCCTCTGTTGGATCCTCTTTGTCTATGGAAGGGTCCTCTCACTCACTGCAGGTCGATGCAGGGCTCCCTGCCATCTCTGCTCTCAATTCGGTTTGCCGATTCCTGCTCTCAGAGCTTTCACGTCTCTATCCCTGCTGTGTCGATTCAGACATGGCAGCAGCAGGGAATTCAAGCCAAGGTTTCCAGAGGCACAGGTTCCAGCAGGAACACTGAGACTTTAGTTGTTCCAATCGTAGCACCGGGATTGCATTTCCAATTGGTTTCTTTCAGCTTAGTTCGTTCCTGGGTTGGCACAGTATATCTCTCCTGCTTAGGACTGCCCACACCACACCATTCTTGGAATATAAGCTGGCTATCTCAGAGAGCCACTGTAGCTGCTGTTATCTATCCACCATGTTCTCCCAGATGTTGCCTTCTTATGGTGGCTAGTGAGTGTTAATGGTAGCTCACAGATGAAGATGCTGACTGACGAAGAAAGCATTACTCATATACTTGGCATGGGACAAGCACTCATAATCACCAAGATATCTAGTGGGAAAGGGATATGCCTTTGCACACATTGCTAAACCTCATGGCCAGGAAGAGAAACAGGGTTACACCAGGGTCCCACAGTCTGCAGTGGTCTCCAGCACCATTTATTAAAGAGGTTGTCTTTCTTCCAGTGAATGTGTTTGTCCCCTTTGTCAAAGATACCCATAGATAAAGGCACTCAGAAAGCAGTAGTATGCAGTCTTTGCAGTTTTTTTCCCTGCCCCCTTTTGTTTTATTTTTTGGTACCAGGGATGGAACTCACAACCTTGTGCTTACCACGCAGGTGCTTAGACTGCTGAGCTAAGTCTCCAGCCTAGTCTTTGCGATTTTATTGGTAGATGCTGCTCTGTGCTTGTCTGTGGGGACTCCTCCAAGTTTATCTTTCTGTCAATTGGGTGATGGTATCAATTTTCAAGGTACAATTATCTTTTCAGCTGATAGTGGACGAAAAAACCAAGCATCTTCAGAGAAGAAAGCCAGTGCAGCAAAAGCTGACAAGTGCAAGACTGGGTATGTACTGCTCACGGCCAAAGGGATAAAGGCCAAAGGGATAAAGGATAAAGGAGTCTGGGGGTGGTGGGCCAAGGTTTCTGTCTCAGTGGAGAGTGGGCCAAGGAAGCCATTGGCCAGTCCCCTTGCCCCTGTGGCTGGGCCTGAGTGCCCTGCCTAGGCCCCCACAGTTTCATGTGCAGAGGGGGCCCTTCTGCACCCATAGCAACTCTGGCCTCTGAGGTTTCCTTTGCCTCAAACTCAGGTTAAATAATGATGTGTAGCCAAATAAGACACTTGTCTTTCAGGCTGGATATAGCCTTGTAGCATGAGGTTACTCTAAGCCAGGTAAACACAGTGGAGATGGTGAGAAGGCAGAACCAATGTATTGTTCTGATTTGTTGGAATTGGAGCAAGGATAGTAGAGAATGCTTTTCTAGTGCTTTGGAATCACACAGTTATATTCTTACTACTTATATATGTATTGTTGCAAGTTTTTTGTTTTTGTAGTTCCAGGGATTAAACTCAGGTCTTCTCTGTACTCTATTCCTGAGCTATATCTTCAGTCCTCTTAAGAATTTTCAGTGGTTAAACGTTAAGATGAAATAGATTGCTTGTAGTTCTCTTGTTTTTATTATGCTGTATATAGTTGATAATGAAAATAATAACTGATCATTAAAGGCATGTTAATACTTAAAGAGCAACAATATTCTCATTTAAATTATAGAAATTTACTATATTTTCCCTTAGAAATATGATATGGTGGCCAGGTGTGGTGTCATATGCCTGTAATCCCAGCACTTGGGAGGCTGAGGCAGGAGGATCACTACAAGTTCAAGGCCAGCCTAAGCTACATAGTGAGTTCAGGCAAGCCTGAACTGCACAGCAAGACCTTGTCTCAACACCCCCCCCAAAGATATGGTAGGCATAATTTTCTTTATTTTTTGGTACCAGGGCTTGAACTCACGACCTTGCCCTTGCCCAGCAGGCGCTTGTGCCACTGAGCTAAATCCCTGGCTCTAATTTTCTTTATTTTTACTTGTATTCAGGAGTAATGCGTACTTATATCTGAATTATCATACAAGTGAAGAACTATGTTATTTTTTGCAAACCACTGGCCCCATGTTGGAGATGGAACCTATGGCCTTACACAGGGTAACCAAATACTTTACCACTGAGCTTTACCCCAGTCTGTAATTTTTCAGCTTTTATTGGAGAGAAAAAAGTGTATCTTACAGGAGGAAACCATGACATCCCAGGGATTAGAGCAGCAGAGAAACTTAGACCTGAGAAAAGGCTTTCTGTATCAAGACAGCTGACAGCAGCTGGACCCTTCAGTGAAATCATTTTTAGATTTTTTTTTCTTTTTTCTTTCTTTAGATTTCTAGATTATATTTAAGCTGATTTACTTATAGGGACAGGTCACTTGAGTAGTTCCCAGGTTGCTTTGCTGGAGACTTGACAAAAGAAGGGTGAAGCTGCTGCTTGGCGTGCTTGTCAGCCTTATTCAAAGGTGTCCAGGCTGTTTGGACTTTTAACTGTTGCTTTGGTACTTCCTGTCTCAGTCTGGAGGCTTCCTGTTGTGTTCAGCATTGTTCCTGTGCAGGTTGCTTCTTGGTTATGGTGTGTGATGTACCCCATTTGGGGTCTTGTTGGTTCCTCTGATGTGGGGCGTGCTCAGCCTGCAGGGCTTGAGGTGAAATTTGCTAAGCAACAAGGCCAGCTTTCTCTCAGTACACAGGAGTCTTGTTCGCTGCTGAAGCCTACAGATGGCTCAAATATTCATCTGCCACCTGTCCTTTCCTTTCCTTTTCCTTTTCCTTTCCTTTCCTTTCTTTTCCTTTCCTTCCCCTTCTGCTTCCCCTTCCCCTTCCCCTCCCCTGACCCTCTGCCACCTTTTCTGATGCAAATTTGTTCTCAAATCTAGGTAATTAGAGTCAGAAATGTTCAAGTCATCCGTGTGCAGTTTTAGGGGAAAGGCCCTTGCATTATCTTTCCTTGCCTTGTCTGGTACTTTCTTCCTCCCCGCCCTAACCTCCTCACATAGGATTTATTTTGCAGTTTAATCATGCATAAGTATCCTGGCAAAATCTGGAAGAAGTTAGGCTGAGGCATGAGTATGGGAAATCACAATTCATGTCCAAGGAATGTTTGAGTTGCCTGTTGAGTCCAGAGTAGAAATGATAACTGGAAATAGAGGCTGGGACCACACTGACCTAGGCCTTGAAGAGCAGATGGGAATATTAATTAGAATATAGCATAGGACAGTGATGGTGAACCTTTTCAAGTTGTTGATGAGACAAACAGTGTGCTGTGATATGTGTGCCATACATTTGCCACCACTAGTGTAGGAAAATAAACCTGGAAGAGTGTGTATATTTGGATTAGAAGAGGTGACTGGGATTGGGAAGGAGTGCTGAGTGAAATAAGCATTGGGATGAAGAGCTGTATCCCTAGTTCTACAGGAAATGAAGGGGAAAATGAGTTAAAAATGCCTCTGAGGATTTCAGCCAGTTACAGTAGAAGTTTGACAGTTGCATATGTTGTACTCTTGTTAGTTGGAAATTTGCATTGGGCAATTGTAAGTTCAGAACTAGATGTCAGGACAGAGCTAGAGACTGCAGCTAGATGTGGGAATCAGCTCCTTTGGGGTGGGAACCAGCCCTCACGCGACCGAGAATATGCTGAGAGTGACAAGAAAAGGCTATGAGCAGAAGCTTGGGAAATGCCCTCATCTAAGAAAGGAAAGAAGGAAGGAAGGAAGCAAGGAAGGAATTGGCCTGATCTTTAATGCATGTATTTCTTCTATCTGTTTCTTCAGTTGTTTGGAACTCAGTTGAATTTATCTTCTTTGCAGGAGAGCTGTGTGCCAAATACCCGGATGCTTCTTACTTGACATTGAAAAGTTAAAACAATATTCTGGAAAGAATTTCAAGAAAAATAAGGATGAACTGGTTCAAAGAATCTACACACTGCTTAACAACACCATCTTTGATCAAAAGGTAGAATCGATGCATTAAGATTTATTGAGCATCTTCTGTATGATGGCACTCTTACAGGGCAGGTGGTGTGCCAACTGTGTATACTTCCTGACTTTGAGAAACGTTAGTTTAGGTGCAGAGGTAAGATGTGCATATGTAAAGGAACTAATGTTTATGGGTTATAATATATGGAACAGATGGTTATTACCATAGGAGATCAGCAGAGGGACAAACAACTGAGAGACTGAATGGTGAGGAAGTAGGATTGCTTGGAGGAAGTGAAACTCCTTTTGGTAAGTCACAGGGACAGCAGTGACAAGGGATAGGGCAGTGTGTTAGGGCTCTACTACTTGGAGTAAAAAGAACAGTGTGAGTTTGGGGAAGTTATTTAACTTCAATATGCCTGTTTCTATAGCTATAAAATAGGTACAGTAACAGCACAGCTGTCCCTCTGTATCCATGGAGTGCCAGACCTCATTAGATCTGCTGCTACTCATTCATGTGTATTATTTGCATATGATCTAGTCACATCTTCCCTTTTTTATTTTTATATTCCTTTCTTTTTTTCTTTTTGATTCGTGTGCATCTGTGTGTGTGTGTGTGTGTGTGTGTGTGTGTGTGTGTGTGTGACAGGATCTAACAATGTAGTTCAGGCTGACCTTGAACTCACTGTATAGTCCAAGCTGGCCTCGAATTCATAGTGATACTCCTGCTCAGCCTTCTGTGTGCTGGGATTACAGGTGTTCATTACTGCCAACTCTCCTATTTACTTTTTTTTTTTTTTGTCTTTTTGAGACAGGGTCTCCCTATGCAGTTCAGGCTAGCCTTGAGCTCACTTTGTAGCCCAGGCTGGTCTCGAACTTGCAATGATCCTCCTGTCTCAGCCTCCCAAGTGCTGGGATTACAGGCATAAGCCACCACGCCCGGCTTAACTCTCCTATTTACGTTAAATCATCTGTGTATTATATAATACCTAGCATAACATACATACTGTGTGAAGAGTTGTTACACTATATTGTTTAGGGAATGAGGACAAGAAGGAAATGTTCATGTTCATGTTCAAGGGGGAAAAGTACATGTTCAGCACTATTGCAGTTTTTAAAAGATATTGTTGATTTGTGGTTGGTTGAAGCTGTGAATGTGTGGAACTCATGGGTACAGAGGGCCAGGTGTACTTACTACTAAAAATTAGTACAAGAGTTAATATACAGAAAGTGCCTGGAACTGAGCCTACACAATTATAGCTCTTACCATTTTTGGCAGGGTAGCACCAGGTCATAGATGACCTGGGCATCAGGTTGTGGGAGGTTAAATTTAAATTGGTAAGCACCACTGCACAGGGATGTGATGTGACCTAGTGTGTCTGCTGAAGAAAAATCCGAAAGTAGCCTAGAGGTATGGAGTGAATTGGAGAAAATTTGGAGGCAGATACCTGTTGGTCATTCCTCATTCCATTGTTTTGTTTTTGTGGGGCTGGGAATCAAAGGCTCACTAAGCAAGTACTCTGTCTGTGAGCACCATCTTCAGCCCTAGTGCATTGGGTTTTTCAGATGTTATTGCATCTGGTACCAACGTTTTCCAGAGGGATAATCTCTTGTCCTAAAGGCTCCCCAACCTTTGGTGTCCTTCCTGAGGATAGTGGTATTAAATCCAATGAATGGAACCTGAAATGTTCTGAGTCACATTTTTTCACTTCTTGCCCACCACACCCTATATGGGTTTCCAGCTGACCCACCTAAGCAGGGCTTTTCTTCTTTATCTGCCTTGTCTCTGTGCAGGAGAGCACAAGCCCTAATTCACCTTGTCTCAACAATCTCCCTTGTGTCCTAATTGCCTCCCTGTCTTTATCTAGACTTCCAGTTAGTTTTTTTTCCTCCCCAGAGTGTTTAGATTTGTGTGCCCTTTGAGTAGATTTCCTCCCAACTTGCTATGAGGCAAGAACCTGGGGAATGAAGTTTCTGTTTTTATTAAATTACAGGGAGGAAAACTTTTGAGTTAATATTTTCTGGACTGCTTGGAACTGCTGTCTGATTCCTTCTGTTTGCTTTTCATTTTCAGCTGCCAGAAGAAATAGACATCACTTGGAACAAAAAGATGCTGAGGACTGCTGGCTCATGTACCACTAGTGAGAGACAGTACCCAAAGAGAGAACGCTATGTCAAGATTGAGATTTCTCTGAAAGTCTGTGATTCTGCAGGTGATGGCAGTAGCAAGACAGCTATTATCTCTGCACTCTTTCCCTCTGACACTAGAATCTATGTAGTGACTCTTAGCTGGAAGCCTGTGTCACTGAACTGGCCTTCCCAGCTAGACAGGCTTGTGTGTATTGCTTAGAGAACATTATTTTGGGATGTTTCACTGTTCCTGGGAATCTGACTATCAGGCATACCTTTCTGTCTGTGTTTCCCCTTGCAAAAGGCAGCATCCCATTCTCTTACTACTTGAGGTTTAAGGTCCTGTATGCCTATTCAGTCACCAAATCTCCCTTCACAATGACTTCTCTGTCACAATTCTTTCTCCATCTTTGCTTTTGTCCAGTATGGGCGCTTATCCCCTCACTTCTCTCTGCTGCACTGAGGCATCTGTGTACCCCCATGATGCTTTGCTGAGGTTTTTCAATGGCTGGAGCCTGGCTTTCTGGGCTGGCATTATCTGCCCCACTCCACTTGGCTGCTCTTGTCTCCCTGTTAACTCATGCTCCAATTAGGCCTCTTACAGTGGCCTTCCCAGTGTACCACACACTTCCCTGGCCTCAATCTTGGCTCTTGTTTTTCACTTGCCCCACAATGACCTTATGAATTTTACAAATTCAGTCCGTTGTGATGGGCGCAGCTCATATCCTCATCTCACCACAGTGCTTCTGACCACATCCTACAGCCTTAGTGATTGCCCTCCTGCCCGTCTGTTTCCATGCCTAGAGGGCAGAAACCAAGTCTTGTCCAGGTAGGTTTCTAGCAATGTCCCACAAGGAGAGGAACATGTTAGAGATACTCCAAAAAGACCTGCTCACCTAAGCTGTCTGCCATGAACAAAATAGGGTTGAAGAGGGCAGAAGTTTCACTTTCAGAATCCTGGTAAGGTGATGCTCGTGGCTACCTGCCTGCATTCACTTCTGTAAGATGCCTGTGCCTGCTGGGGGTGAGAGTCAAGGGATTGTTGGGTAGCAGATCAGGAGAGAATTGATTTTAGTACTTAAGTTTCTTTTCATTTCTCTTCCGAGACCGGCTCCGAGACACCCTGATCCATGAAATGTGCCATGCTGCCTCCTGGCTGATCGATGGCATCAGAGATTCTCATGGTGATACATGGAAGTATTATGCCACAAAGTCCAACAGGGTCCACCCGGAGCTGCCCTTGGTCACCTGTTGCCATAACTATGCAATTAACTACAAGATTCATTATGAATGTAACTGGTGCAAAACCAGGTAAGGCTTTCCTTTTCAGACTTTTTTTTTTCCACTTACCTTTTCATTTCAGTCCCCAAGTGGGTCTTCGGTCATTGTGGGAGTGAATCCATGGCTGTCTGACTTGAGAAGTGAACCTCTATCTGTCTGTCTTTTTTGGGTGGGAGATACTGGAGACTGAAACTAGAGCCTTCACAAGGAGGTGTATACTCAGCTCCCTTGTACCTTTTAATTTGAGATGAGTTGCTAAGTTGCAAGCTGGGCTCAAACGTGTGATCCTCTTGCCCCAGCCTCCCAAACTAATGGGGTTGTAGGGATTATAAGTGGGACCTCTGTATTACTTTCCATGTTCTCTTTACGAATTTGAGCCAGCCTGACCCCTGTCATCGTTTGGAGCCCCACTCTGAGAACTCACAAAATCTCACTTCAGGCCCAAGACCAGTATGTCTAAACTGATACTGTGGTGACTGATTCTTTTGTTATATGGTGTCCTTTTCCTCACTAGGGTTGGCCGCTATACCAGATCACTGAACACCAAACGCTTCTTCTGTTTTGTATGTAAGGGGCCTCTGATCTTGCTGCCATTAACTCGGAAAGATGGAACCCCCATTAAGCCCTATGTGAGACCATTTGGCAAATATGTTCAGGAGAATTACAGAATGGTGTTACAGGAGACAGCAGGCCTCAGCCATGGAGATGTGATGAAAAAGCTCAGCAAGAATTATGCTGCCAGTAAACAAAATAAAAATCCTTAAGGTTGCCCTAGAGTATGTCTATTAACTGAGCCCTTTTCTGACAAGAAGTTCTGGAAACATTTCTGTGACATTATTACTATTAGAGTTTAAATATGTATTTTTAGATTCATTTTATTAATGATGATTGTTTTTAACCAAAGGTTTTATTGTACCTTTGAGAATATTCTAAAGGCCTTGAATTCACCTTTGGTCTTACTTTTACTGCGTAGTTTTAACATATAGAACGAAAAACAGAAGAAAAATGATTTTATGTATGGCAGGTTGAGAGAATAAAAATAATGCTGAGAAGAGTAAGTTTTAAAGTCAGCACTTCAAAGCCAGGGCTATTGCTGTGTGTTCTGCCTGCCTGCATATAAAAGCACACATATTTCAGAGATTTAGTCACTGATGACAATGAGTGAAACAGCCATGTACTTGTTCAGCAAACCAAATAAATAAAATGTGAGTCTTTGTGTCTCATGTATTAATAAAATCTACTTATTGTTTTTCTCTTTTTCTGTGACTTCCTATAAGGGCTTTAGCAGTGATATCCAGGATGTGGACTGGTACCGGCACTGTATTAGTTTCCTCTGGCTGCCACAACAAAGTACCATAAACCTAGTGGCTTAAAACAACACAAATGTATTACAGTACATTTCTGGAGGTTAGAAGTCTGAGAGGAGTCACCTTGGACTACAGTTAAGGTGTTAACAAGTTTCTGGATTCTCTAGGGGGGCGGAATTAGTTTCTTTGTCTTTCCCAGCTGCTAAAGGCCACCCATGGCTTTGGTTCATGGCCCCTTCTTTCATCTTCAAAGCCAGCGGCAACATCTCTTTCTCTACTTTCCTTGTTTACCTCCCTCTTTCACCCTTAAAGACCCTTATGATTACATTAGATCCACATAGATATTCCAGAAGAATCTGTTGTGTTTTTGTTTGTTTTGTTTTTTTGAGACAAGCTCTCAACATGTATTCTAGGCTGGCCTTAAGCTCACTGTGTAGCTGAGGCTGGCCTCAATCTTGTGGCAATCCTCCTGTTTCAGCCTCCTGAGTCTTGAGATTACAGGTGTGTGCCACTTTACCTAGCTCAATAGAAAATCTTAAAGTCAGCTAATTAGAAGCTCAGTTCCCCTCTGCCATGTAAGTTAACCTATTCACAAGCTGTGGGTATTGGAGTGTGGCTAGCAGGGAGGTCCATTTTTTTTGCCTGCCACAAATACCTTTACTAGTTTGACATTATTGATATGTTTTATAGGCAGGAGCGTTATTCTAGTCATTTCTTCTCTTTCATTTTTCAGAAAAACCCCTGTCTCTCAGGCTAAATATGATCGAAGATGTATATAAAGAGAGTTAGGAAGCACTAACTGCTTGGATTTCTCCCCCGCTCTCCCATCTCTGGCTCTAACCATACCTGCAGTTTCAGCAAGGGCTCAGTTACCCTGTCAGACTGGGTCATGTGACTTCATGATGGGGTGCTGACAGTGCAGTAGGTCTGTGCTTTTACCCTCTGCCTTAACTCGGTGGCCCTATCAACATGTCCTTCTGGGAAGCTCTAGTTATTTCCTCCACTCACTTCAACCTCAGTAATAGCTGTTAAAAATGCTCTCTTCAAGCCCACTGCCATTTCCCTAGTAAAAACTTCATCAGCGCTTGTGTTACCTGAATAACATACAGCTTTCTGGCTGGTCTCTGATTTCAAACTACCTCTTTGTCTTATTTTTCAACCCTGCCCTTACCTGAACATTTAACTCTAGCCTCTCGTAACCACTTATAATCCCCCCCCCCATAAGAAGCCAGAAATGGTTAGCACATGCCTGTAATCCCAGTGCTCTGGGAGGCTGAAACAAGAGGATCACAAGTTTGAGTTCAGCCTAGATGACTTAGCAAGATCCTGTCAGAAATCAGAAAAAGAGCTGGGGATGTAGCCCAGTGTGTAGACTGAGTTCAGTCCCTAGTACACACATACAGTTGATTTTAGCCTTGCCATCTTTGCTACTACTCTCTCTAATGCCTCAAAATACTCTTTTTTTTCTTCCTTCTTTACCTTCAGAAATACCACTTGGGCTTTGTTTCCAGAAAGCCTTCCCAAATGGCTCTGGCCTTCATGCTCTGAGGCCTCAATTTACTGTGTTCCCTTCCTTTGTCTCATGTTGTAGATTGTTTGGTACTGCTAGTTTTTACTGAGGTAGAAAATGAGACGCAACACTACTGTTTTCCTTTGGTGGCTGGAAGAAGCACAATCTCACTGCTAGCTGTCAGCCCCTCTCCCCTGCAGCTTCCCCTAGGGTGGCCAGGGACAACTAGTTCCAGCATCCTCTTCCTATCTTGGGATTGCCTCAACCACCTTCTAGGCCTCAGCTTACTTTGGAGCCCAAGGCTTGTCCAACAACTACAGTGCCTCTTCCCTACTTGGGGCTTGCTTGGGTGCTGCTGCTGCCTCTCATGAGTGGCTAGAGGACTGTTTGTAACAGGACAAAAATTGCAGATGGACTGGGTACTGTCATTGTTCCCAGCATCCCCAAATCCTGTTAGGCTACGTTTGGCACGGCTGCCACTCCTAGAAACTCAAAGCAGCTGCAGTCATGACTCCGAGGACTTGTTGATTAAGCAGCAGCTTCTGCTGCAGTTCGCCAAGCTGTCACCATGACAGCAAAGGCTGTCCTAGACACCCAAAAGTCACTTTGGGAGATACTTGCCTTGACTGCTGTAGGCTTCAGACACAGACCTATCCCAGATGACTGCCCTGCCACCTCCATATGACCTTGCCTCCTCCTACTACTTGAAAATTCCCCAAATAGATCAGTGACATGCACTCAGACCACAAATGCTGCTCTGAATCATTGTTACCTCACCTACTATGGGTCCATCCAGGAGGCTCTCTCCCATGTACTTTCCCCTGTCCTGCAGAACAGACCCCAATAAAGCTTCACTCAGGTCATCCCAACTGCCTACTTGTCATTTTTTTTGTCAGTGCATTGAGTGGTTTGCACTAATAGCAACACTGAGGGTTCTTAGCCCTGAGTGTACTTAGCAGCCAGAGGGTTGCTGAAGAGTTGCAGGGAACAGGAGCAGTGAAGAGCTAAGATCTCCAGAGATCTGTGGAAGAACCCCAGAGAGGTACCAGAAGCTGCCGCAAGAGTTCTAGGAAGCTGCCAAGGCAGGTGCAGGCTCAGGATGCTGCGTGGGGTGGTTTAGAGCTACCAGCTACTAGGACACTAGAGCTAAGAGGTGTGAGCACTCAGAGCTTGCAGCTGTAACACTAATAGCTAAGAGCCATTGGCACTCAAAGCCTTCAGCTGCTAACATCAAGGGTGCTGCACCTACCAGTTCATGATTTCTACCCAGATTGGGCAAGAACCCTCAGCTGGTTATTAACATTGTGAAAGTGGGTACCATACCAGGGACCATTGCCTTTAGAGGGTCCTGAAGAAAGTGGACAACAATGACAGTTGTCGACAGGCTCAAGAACTAGCCCGGATCTGCTTTCTTTGTTATATGCAGCTAAGAATCCACATTAGCTGGTGACATTATCACATATTTCTGCTGGTCTGATCTGGGATTCAGGGACCATCTTGTTCTCCTCTAGTGGCCCCTTCCTAAAATTATGCCCATATGGTGTCTAGACAGCCAGCTGCCTGACAGTTCACTGCTGTTGCCCCAGTCCACGAAGGTGTCTTACCGGTGCTACCAGGTGATAGGTAATCCAGAAGATGGCAAAGGCCACCTTACCTCCATTGCTAGCTCTGGCCAGGGATCCCAGGTCCAGGCAGGGCGAAGCAGAAAGTGCATTTCCAAGTCTAGTCAAGGTTGACCATAATGACTACTAAACCACCCTGGTTCTGATTATCTTGTTTATTGAAAAATGTGAAGCAAGATTTTAGACATAAAAAATAAAAGTGGAAAAATACAGAGGTTTTGGGAACCATAGCCACAGTTGTTGCTGAGCTGGTGGCCTGGACCACAGCCCCATGGGGCAACACTATGCTGTTTAGCTCATACTCCCTGCATGTGGGAAAGGCCAAGTTCTAGTTTCTGAGTTAGAAGGGCAGTGGGCCTCCAGGCAGCCACCTCTGAAGTAGCAAGAGGGGCATGGCAGCTAAGTAGCAGCAATGGTTTAGCCACCCAGGCTGCGAGAGCAGCTCCCTGGGAGACCTGGCAGTGTGGGAGCTGCCAAGGAGCTCCAGGGACAGGGTTAAGCCAGAGCCAGCCTAGTAGTGAGGGAAAGAGTGAGCCTGGAGTGTGGAGAAGGGCTGCATGGGCCAAAGGGCATTCCCCTGCAGTATCAGTCTCACAAGCCTGAGTAAGAGGCCTCTGTGGTCTCAGACCAGGAAGAATCTCGGCGAGAAGATGGTGGCTGCCGCTGGAGGGCAGGGCAGCCCAGACGCGCAAGCAGTGTCCACAGACGCTCTCGGAATTTGATCCCCACAAAGGCATAGAGCAGTGGGTTGAGGCAGCAGTGCATATAACCCAGGCCTGAGGTGACTGACTTGGCCACATCTATGTGGCTTTCTCGGCCACAGTCGCGGGCCAAGGCCCCCAGGTCCATGAGAATGTCCACCATAATCACTAGGTAATAGGGGGTCCAGCAGAGGGCAAAGGCCACTACTACCACTACCACTACCCGCATGGCTCGCAGGCGCCGCCTGCCTCTGGAGATCAGCAGCACAGCCAGGATGCGGGCATAGCAGTAGGTCATGACCAGCAAGGGCAGCAAAAAACCAGCCACCAGCTGCAGTACACGCAGAGCTGTGCGACCAAACTGTGGGAAGTTGTGTTGGCAAACAGTGGCATTGAGGCGGTTGTCACGGTGGGCTGAGAGGAAGATGAAGTCTGGAAGGGCAAAGAGCAGGCACAGCCCCCAGATGACTACACAAGTAAGGGCCACACGGGTTGGGGGCCCCCGGCGGTAGAGTTGGGTGGCGTGCACTATGCTCAGGTAGCGATCAAAGCTGATGCAGGCCAGCAGGAGGGACCCTGCATAGAAGTTGATATTGAAGAGGGCACCTGCCACTTTGCAGAGACCAGAGCCAAAGACCCACTGGACAGCAGCATCCACTGCCCAGAGAGGGAGCGTCAGCACCAGTAGTGCATCCGCCACAGCTAAGTGGAGCAGGAAGGTGTCAGTGCTGCTCAGGGTGGCCCGCTGGCTCAGGAGCACGGCTGCCACAACACCATTGCCGAGGAGTCCCAGCACAAAGAGGAGGCTATAGAGGACTGGAGAGAAGGCCCGGTCGAAGTTTAGGCTGAAGTCCTGTGGGCAGGGTGGGGAGGCACAGCAGGAGTCACTCTCATTTCCTCCATAGTCGTAAGGAGAGCTAGAGTTTTCCAGGAAGGTGGCAAAGTCTGAGACATCTAGCACTTGGCATTCACTCACCTGCAGGAGGGAGGGAAGAGGGAAGGCAGGATGGGACTATGTAAAGGTCTCACAACCACCTCCACTCCTTTGTGACTTGTGACTTTGAGCAGTTCCTCTTTAAGACAGACCCTAGAGGCCTAGAGCACATTCCACGACTCAATACCTCTCTTCCAGGGCCACCCTTCCTGAGTGCTATCTGCCCAGCCTGGGCTCTAGGCTGGAGATTTTCTTTTTCAAAGTCTGTTTCTCCTCATTACCTCTGGGCCCAGAGCCTTCTGGCTGCTTCTGTCTCTTTGTACTTCCTTCATGGGTTGCCCACCTCAGGATCCCGATCGTACTTTAGTTCAACCACCTGCCTCCTCAAGTGTTCCCTCCCTGGTGCCATCTCCTAATCACTGGCTCCTTCCTTCCCTCCTCAGGTCTTATTCAGGGCACATAGAGCTCACTGTGCCCCTTCCCCAAATATATGCTTTCAGCCCTGTGCTTCCTGTCCCCTACACAGAGGCTTGCAGGCCCACTTAGCTGCCCACTGGGAGCTCTAGAAGGCTTCTTCTTTTTCTCCTCCTCCATTTTTCTTTCTTTTTCTTTTTCTTTCTCCGCCCCTCTTGGTTTTTTTGAGACAGGGTCTTGCTGTGTAGTTCAGACTGGCCTGGATCTCACTATGTGGTCCAGTCTTCCTCCTTCTTCTTGAGATGGGGTATCCATCTGCTTTCCAGGCAGATTTTAAACTCCTAGTTCCTTCTGTGTCAGTCTCCCAAGTAGGTGGGACTACAGCTGCACTGCCACACCCAGCTGGCAGGGATCTTCTTTTCCCTTCGTTCGTCCTGAACCACCCGAGATGTAGGTCTCCCTAGTGCCAGATGCAAGGACCAAAGCACCAAATCACAACTGAAAGGAGACTTAGAGTTCAATAAGATCTTCTTCCCAATACCCCTGCATTTTGGAAGTGAGGTACCCAAGCCAGAGTGAGGGAGGAAACTTGCCTGTGGTCAATGGCCAAGTTGGTCAATTCCCAATTCCCTATCTAGTGCATTTCACCTGCTCCCTGGATCAACCTTCTGGTGCCCCCTGAGCTCTGGACCAGCCCTACTGTCCCTAGTGCCCTGAAATGGCCACTCTGAATAGTGTTCTGGTAGGGCTGGGCAGCGGCACTTACCTCAAGGACCATGGTTGTACTGGTGCTCTGGTTGCTGTGTTGCGTGCTGCTTGCCCTTCTGCCTTGGTGCTTGTGGTTGGGAACCTGCAGTGCACAGAGGAAGTGAGGGTTTCATGCAGTTCTCACCACAGCCTCTTCCAGAGGTTGGAAGATCTACAGACCCATCTAGACCCAGCACATTGAGTTCCTACCTCAGCCATCCTGTGACTGGGTAAAGCCTTTCTGGGGGAGTTGCTGGGAGCCTAGGATCAGAAAGCCTGGGCTCTAGCGAAGGGTATAGGGTGGTTGGGTGTGGCGGGGAGAAAACTAAGAGGAAGCCACACAGCAGGGAGATGAGGGCAGCCCTGCTGCCAAGGGCAAGAATTGCTCCTCCTTCTAGTCTATGCTTAATAAGTTAGCTGGTGTGTTCATCAGGCCTGGACTAGAGTTATTCTTTGCATGATTGTATAGACTGAATAATGAATTGTATTGCCTATAAAGGAGGTTAGACTTCTTGAAAAATTAAAATATTTTGAACAAATCTTTCACCTGAAATCTGTCTGGATCTTTGCCATTGCCCCTCCCCAATAAACAACAGGAGAAAAGAAAGGAAAGTGTTAATAATGAACTCACTAAATGCCAGATGTTGCTTCAATTCCTTTCTCTGACACTGTCTCATTGCAAGAACAAGTCCCTCTTGAGGTGGTGGTCTGTCCCCAAAGATGATTCAGAATGGGGAAGACCTTCATCAGACATGCAAGTATGGGTGAGTCTGAGGACTGAGCCCACAGCTGTCTGACTCATCACACTGCCTTCTGTTTCTTCTAAATGAATAAACTGATAATTCACCCAGCTAAAGATCAAGTGAAGTGAAACTACGTATTTTTTACCATGAATACATACAGAGAAGCCATTACTCACAAGAGGGATGAGGCAAGTTATAAAATATTGTGTATAGTTTGACACTCCTTATGTAAATTCTAGAAACCACCACATAAGACAGCAATATATTGTTTTGGATATGGGTATAACTTTGTCCTCAAAGTTTAAGACAAAGACTACAGGTCACAAATTCACAACAGCATTTGCTTCTGGGGTGTGAAGAAAAAGAATGAGGTTGGGGAGGTGTGCTGTGTTTTAAGGAAAAACTGTAGGGTGGTGTTAGTGCATCAGATCAGTCACCTCATGGTTGAAAGCTGTGGAACAATTCCTCTTCCACTTTCCCACAGTTCCTCTGTCCCCTCATCTCTGCTCCCAATCACCCTGTTTCTTTCTGACTGGGCAAGGCGAACCCTAACTTGCCTCCTACAAGCAATTTCCTTATTTCTTCTCTCCCCCAAATGCCAGCCCCTGACCTTGGGGCACAGTTTTCAGCTGGATGCTCTGCCAAAGGCTCCAGGCTTATGTCTAGAATTTGGTTATTGATTTGACTTGTCCAGCGGCAAGACCCTATTCCTCCTTCTGTGGACAGATAGACGTGCTTTGCTCTGAAACAGCTTATCACCTGCAGAGTCTAGGCTAGAGGAAACTGAGGGCTGTACCATGTGGGAAGGTTGTGGTGTAGTAAGGGGGGGTGTAGGATGTGGAAAGGGCTGACTATGGAGGTGAAAAAGGGACAGGAACCGAGACCATGGGTTCTCCATGCTGGCCTGTAAGAGGTTTGAGGTTACTGAGTTTCTGGGACTGAGAAAAATGATCATAAAAACTGTATTTGCTAGTTTTAAAGGACTTAGTCTACGTTATGTTCTACGTATGTTCTACATCTAAGTTATGTTCTTTATTCCCTTTTTGGTGTTAAAAAGGCCTTTGCTTTATGAAAGAAATGATAGAAAAAACAGTTGTTTCAGAAATCTATTGTGCTGGCACAAGTTGGCAATCTAATGTGAGTCCTCCAATTAGATGTTAGAATATTACTGGTCTGTGTGAAATATTAAGGCCTGGGGGTCCCTGGTCTCCTTCCTGGGCTCTAGCCTCATGTATCACACAGGGATGATGAGCCCCAACTTCCCAGGTTTTTAGGAAAGATACACAGAAGATCAGAGCAGGAGCTTTGGAAAGATGTGGAGAATTTTCCTTGCTGAGTTCCAGTGTCCAACATCAAGTCCAGCTCCTGACAGACCAGCCTGGGCTCTCGCTGCTCCCAGAGATCTGCTCAGCTTGTCTAGACTCTAGGCCCAGTTCCACCTCTTTCGAGCTGTGTGGCTTTGGCCAAATCACAGAACCATCTCGAGCTGGTTTCCTCAGCAGTGTTGTTACGAGACAAATTGAGATAACCGAAGTTGAAAGCTCCTAACACAAGTCCAAGCGCTTCATATGAGTGCAACTGAAAATGCTGAATGAGTGAGACAGCAGCCATGGACCTAGAGCCACCAGGAACCATTCATATCAGGGGAGGCCTTGATAGATGATGGTGCCTTGTGGGATGTACAGGCGCGGCAGTGGCTGGAAACCGAGAGGCCTTTGGTTTTGACTGAGTGGGGGAGAGAATTCTCAATGCTAGCCAGATCCTCTGGCTGCCAAGCTAGGTGTTCCTAGACAAATTATTTCATCTTTGCACTTCAGTTTTCTCTTCTGAAAAATGGGCCTAAGGATGGTATGCATTTGATAGGGTTACTCTGTGGACGGCAGACATTTCACGTGTGATGCAGAGAGATGCCCATTGTGCAGCCATCTCTTTTCTCTCTGGTAAGTTTCCAAACTAACCCCTCCTGAGCCTCAGAATAGCAGGACTGTGGTGGCCTTCTGCCATCTTTTACAGCTGACATACCTTGGAAATTTCCTGTGTCATGGCGTTAAATCCTTGTCTGGCCCTCTAATTTGGTACTTTCCAGTCCCAAGCAGCCCCCAGAGCAGGTCGGAACAAGGCCCAGCCCTTGGAGAGAACAAGGACCTAAATGTGAATTCTAGCTGCACCCTCCTGCTTCTCCTCTCCAGAATAGTCAGCAGGGGAACCTGAAGAGGAAGTTAGTCAGAATGAAGCTGCTCCGGGCCCCACCTGTGGTCAAGGTGTGAAATGTGCACCTGGCTCTCCTCTGCCACCCCTCCCCTTGTTATTTTTCATTCTTTCACACTTTTGGGCTGTGGTTTGGGGAGATGGGAGGCTCAGAGATATGAACCCTGGCCCCAGACCCTCACAGGAAAGAGGGCCCCTACAGCTAGCTGTCTGCTGAGCCAGTCTGCCAAGGACAAGGACCATTTCCTCCTCTCCCTCCAGTCCTCAGAATGTCCCCCAGGAACCCTGCTCCAAAATCTCCTGGATGGCCACCAGACTGTCAGAAGAGCAGGCTCAGCCAGGCCAGACATCCCATGGGGCTCAGGCAGTGGCCCAGGCTAGGGCTGGCTCAAGTCACAGGGAGACCCAAGGACCATCCCTGTCCCTTCCACTGTCCCTTGTTGTACAGCTCAGAATCCTCCGGGGACTCAAGCCCTCTCTAAGTGCTGGGGTTATGAGATGGGGCCTGGAGAGAGCAGAGGTCAGAAATGTCACTGGGCCCACTGGGCTGGTGCAGTGGCAGGAGCATTGGTAACGTTTGCGTGTTGTATTCTCTTGGAGTCTCCCAGATGAGGCCCAACAGAGTGATCAGAACGGCTAACATTTATTGGTTACTAAGCAATGTGCCAGGCATTGTTCTCTAAGTATACTATTGTAATGAATTCACTTAATACCCCTAACTATGCAGTAACTATGTGGTTCTTATCATTCCTGTTATACAGGTGACAGAAGTAGGAATTTTAAGGAACTTGCTCAAAGTCACAAGGCTGGTAAGTGGCAGAGGCGCTGTGTTCCTCCCTGTTGTGAATGTCTTGTCGGGTTAGAGGGACTGGAGTTGAATGTGATGTTCAGTCAGGACTACCTTGGGCTTATCTATAATGTTTTACATTGAAATTGCATTCACCTATTAGCCATGTGACTAAATAGTCATCAAAAGGAGGATAATCTGAGTGTGATGGCACACACCTGCAATCTAGCTACTAGGGGAACTGAGACAGGAGGACCACAAGTATGAGGCCAGCCTGGTAAACTTAGCAAGACCCTGTCTTAAAAAAAATAAAACAGAACTGGCAATGTAGCCTAGTGGTGGAGTGCTTGCCTAACATATGCTAGGCCCTGAGTAGCATTCTCAGTACTGGTAATAAGAAAAAAGGAGTATAAAAATAAGCTCAAGGAGTAAGACAAATGGTAAAATTTGAATCTGGCCCATGAGTGGACAAAAATGTTATATTCCTGCTGTTTTGCTAATTTTGTTAATGTCAGAGAATGTTTGTAGGAAATATCCATTGAGATGTTCATGAGCAAAAAGCCCTCATGCCCACTGCTTACTTTACTAAAACATGGAAATCAAGTAGTCCAAGTGAGAGAGGACATGGGGAGAAAGCAAAGGGAGCTTTCTGAACTATTTTTGCAACCTTTCTGTAAGTTTGAAATTCTACCAGAAATAAAAGTTACCAAAAGAATCTGTCTTGTGCAGGATGAGTTGGGGTCAGATGCATTTCCTAGGAACAGCTTAGAAGCCTAGAGAAAAGATCATGAGGCCAGGGCTGCCTGATTCCTGACTGTGGCTTCTGGCAGAGCTCCCTATCTCATTCATTCCCCACTTCTCCTCTCTGTGACCTCAATTTGTGCTTCCAGACTCCTGAGTTTCTTCCTTTTTCTACTGTCTGGTCCCCTCCAACCTCAACCCAGCTTCCTGTGCAACCATCTGAACCCAGGAAGGAAGTAACCCTGACATCCAACTGGAAGGCATGGCCAGCCCAAGATCTCTTATATGGTCCACATGAGGACTCTCAAAGAAGACAGACTGTTTCTGGGGCTCCCAGGGTGACCCCAACCTTGACTCAGGCTGGCTAAATAGCAGGGATGAGGACTGTGTCCTCCAGAGGGTGTCCCAAACAGAGGGCTGGATGAGGCCCCTGCTGGGAGGTTGCCCTCTCTGTCTGGGCTGGACCAGGCTGCTGCTCAAGTCCCTAATGTTACTGAACTTGCATTTTCTTTTCCTACTCCACACCATTCACCAAAAACCAGACAGATCTGAGAAAAGGCAAGAAATTTCACTTGGTGGTCAGTGAATGGACAGGTGCAGCTCAGGCTCTGAAGACACCTTGGCTCTAAGCAAGTCTGGATCTGAATTTTTATTATGAGGGGTAGGATATGAATGTTGTCACCAGAGATTTTGATGGAGTAGGGAGATGTTCCAGAAGTGTCACCTGTTTCCCCCACTAATTTGGGCATGCTCAGAACTATCACAGCTTCAGTGTGTATGTGCACATGTGCGTGTGTGCATGTGCATGTGCATGCTTATCATTCTTGTGAGATTATAATGAGCCCACAGTTGTCTGGGGAACCAATATGGCATCTGGACCAGGTCAAGCCCATCTGGAGCCCTTCCCCCAGCAGTTGGGAACAGATAACAGATGATTACTTGGTAGTAACGAGCTGACAGCATGTGGTTATCAGCATCCAGCCTTTAACTTTCACAAGTAGGCAGTATAACTGACAGAACAACAGGCTCTCTGTAATTTTGGGGTTCAGGCTGGTGAAAAGAAGAGGAAAACAAACCATAGTGCCCACTCCAAAGATACTCCATTGACTAGCAGCTGCTGAGTAGTGTCCCTTCCTTGGTTCTTACCTTGCCACTACCCAATAGTGTTTTAAGTTGCCTTCTCAGGATCCTGCTTAGAAGGATGGGTTTATCTCTGGCCTGGATGCTCTGGCCTTCTAAAACATTCCTTAGCCAGCCAAAACTAATTTCCG